TACCTGGAATCGTACTTGGAATCGTACTTTTACAAGAGAAACTTCGATTCCATGTACGATCGGCCGCCTACCCACGCCCCTGGCCAGCCGGATCGTAGTTCGAATCGTGCTGGAACCTGTACATGGTCCTGCAATCGTAGTTGGTATCGTTTTCCTATCGTAGTTTCGATTCGTACTGGAACCTGTAATCGTATATTGGAATCGTATCTAAGTCCTACTTAAACCCTAGAAATGTATAATCCAGGATATACAAGACTTGCTGCCATATAAATATTAATAAGCCAAATATATCCAGAATATAAATACTGTCTAACTGTTACTGAGTGGGGGCAGTACCCAACACTTACAAGATAAGCCCAGGAGATGGAGGGTGAGGTGGGCGCGAAGCGGACTCCCTCGCGGCTGCGGCCCCAAGAGTGTTCGGAGGTGAGCTGAGATTGTTAGTTGGGGTTCACGCTGAGGGGCCGATATGAGATGCTTCAACCACTGCGACGCTGCAACACCCCCACAACCAGCAACAACACTACACTCAACCCCCTAAACTTGAAGCCCAGACCCAACACCCGAGGCTGGATGATCCGAGTCCCACTGCCCGAGCGACTCCAACGCTGGACTTTGAACCAGGCCGGGGTGCTTGAATAGCTTGGAGAGGAAAGAGTTCAGGGCTTAGGGGACAGGGTTCTTCTAAGGATTGTGCAGATTGGCTTCAGGGTGCGAGCGTTCATGGTGTTGAATCTACCGTTCAGAGAGACTTTATGTTGCACTCAGCGAGCTTCAGTCACACAGCTAAACCGAGGACCTGCATACACGACTGTGCAGAAAGTGGCATCACCCAAAGGTTCATGTTCAGTCATATCCGCTGTCATGAAAAAGAAAGTCGGCATTGGTGATCACACACACATATATGTATATGTATATACATGTACAGGCTTCTTAGAAGCAAGCCGTTATGCCTGCGTGCCAAGCGGCATTCCTTCGACCCTCAACCCTAAACAACCCGTTCCATAGCTTCTCCGTGGTGAGGCGACGACCTCTCCGAGTGTGGGGCGCGGGGCCAAGCAGTATCCTCAAGCTCAAGACCCCTAGCCCTCAGGGAGGGGCTTGATTCCAAAAAATGGGGTTTTGGGGTACGTTGTACTATAATCATAAAAAGGAGCCCCCAAAATACTGTTGGCAATTATTTAGGCTTCTAATTAATAACCCCTGAACCCGAATCCCCAATCTTGCAGTGTGGGTCGAGCCCTATGCCCCTACGCGGCTAGGGTCAACGGTCTAGGGGTCCTGATAGTAAGGATCCTATGTGCACTGTTGGGGTTTGGGGTCGAAAATGTTTGGGAAGCTGCGCACTTGGTGGATCAATTGCGGCGAGGCTTTTAGGGTTTAGGTTTTGACACGAGGCTCGGACCCCAAGAAAAGGATCCTGATGCCGAACTACCCCCGAAGCTTTAATATAGAATCCTAAATAATTACCAATACTGCTGTTAGGGTTCCTTACTATATGAATACTATAAAGGAGCCCAAAACCCTATTCTAATTAGTAAGGCCCCTGCATTACTCCGTCACCCCGATACTTTGAGGTTTTGCCAGCTCCCCTGGACGATGCCTGTCCACCATCGAAGGACGCGCATGGCAGAGTTCAGATTCCTCTCAGTGCAGCGTGAGTCTAGCATCGAAGTAACTCTAAAGTCTGTACCCTGGAATCCTAATCCCGAAACCCGAAAACTTAAGCTCTGTACCCTGGAAGCCTTATCCCTAAGCCCTCAAACTTAAACTCTGTACTCTGGAATCCTACTCCCTAAACCCTACAACTTAAACCCTGTACCCTGGAACCCCACTCCTTAAACCTGAGCCGTAGCAGCCAGGGCTTGGGTGCGGTCGAGGGCCCTCGGATGCGATACAGATAATATAAGGGCCTAAACAATTACATATACTATTCTAGGCGGTTCCTTATGAAAAAATGTATAATGGAACCCAAAACCCTATTGAAATAACTTACAGAAGGGGACGCCAATTATAAAGGTCCCGACATACGGGTTTCGAGGAGTGTATCCAGCCTTGGGTTCCTACTACAGTTGTAACTTATGGGCTTGGGATTTGAGGTGTTTGGGGGTGTAGAGGGGTTTCTGCGAGTTCAGCTGCCCTTTCAAGAAGTACCCGAGCAAAGAGCAACACCACGCATGCCGGGTGTAAGGTGTAGGCTTTAGGGTTTTGAGTCTGGGGTTTCCATTTAGGCGAAACATGGCACGCGGGTGGCCTCGAATTCGTATTCGTATTCTTATCATTATTGTTCGTATTATTATTGTCATTGTTATGATTATTCTTATTATCATTATTGTTATCATTATGGTTATTTTGGACCCCCGAACCCTGCATGTTTGAAAGATCCGCTTTGCATGCGCTCTCGCATACAGGCCAATCTGGATCGACGAAGCCCAGTTCTCAAATCCCCAAGGCCCTGCGGCCCCACACCCTACACGGCCCTTTACCCCGAAACCCTAAGCCCAACAAGGGTAGTCAGTTGAAGCCATCTAATGTTGTTATAGTACACACCCAAACCCTATTCCAAATTAAAAGCCCTACACCCCTAAACCCTAAACCCCTAACCCTAAGTTCATTGTGTGCCTGGAACCTCAAAGTGAATAGGCCCTTGCAGCTTTTCAAGGAAGCCGAAAGGGAGTGTCGCCCAATATGGGACCCTGATTTAGACCCTAGCTAGGAGGATCCTGACTATACGGACCTTCAGAAAGCCCAAGAAGCCGTTATTGTGCTGTGCCATGGAAATCATGGCCTTCGGCGTGCTTTTGCTTCTTCTCGGGCGATGCGGCTGAAGGTATTGAGGGGTCGTAGCAGGAGCCATAAACCCTGAACCGCAGGCCTCAAATCTCAAGCCGTAATCCCTAAACCCTAACCGCGAGGGCTCGGGGTCAATTCCTGGCTGGACGATTGGAGCTTCGGGTCTTTGGGGTAGTGAAGTAGGGTAGTTGACTGATGGCCCGTCTCGCCCATCGATCCTTGTTAGACCAGGTTGAAGAACCCGTTGCCGCCGTGGTGCGTCATCATCATCATCATCATCATCATCACCATTACCATCATCATCATCATCATCATCATCCTCATCCCCATCCTCACCACCATCATCATCATCATCTCAGTCTTCGTCTTCTTGTTATAATCAGTCTTATCATATGTCGTGCTCTGAGTTTGCTTATGACTCTGATTATGATCATGATTATGAGTCTTACTTCTATTCTTACACTTATAGTTTTTATGGCTGCTACTACTACTACTACTACTACTACTACTACGACAACGACTACTAGTAGTACTACTAGTACTACTGCGACGACCCAGGTTTGGAATTGGTACTTTCAAGACCGCCGCACCAAGGATTCTTGGGACGCATGGAAAGAAGAGGCTATGCCCAGCCGGCTGCAAGTGCTCGGCAGGGTGGCTTGCTTTAAAGTATGTGGGCGGGGTTCGGGTAGAGGTGGAATTTTTGGAAAGTTCTCCACGCCTCAGGCCCCTAGAAGCCACATCAAGTCATAAGACCAACGACTCTGAGCTTCATAGAAGACCGTGGAAGTCAGAGTTGACGGGAGCAAAGCCATTCTCCCCTAAGCCCCTAGACACAGCACCCCGGCAAACCCCAACCCGGAAGCCCCCAAAGCCCTACACACTGCAGCCTCACACCCTGATAACCCAGATCATAAACCCCACCAAAACCAGACAGACAAACATGTTGTAAGGGCGTTACGCTGACTGCACCTCGGCAAAGACCCTTGTGGAACCCTCCTAAAACCCTAAAACCCTAGACTCCTAAAACTTAAACCCTAAAGCCCTAACTCTGAACCCTAAATCCCCACACCCTAAGCCCGTAAGCCTAAACCCCTAGACCCTAAACCCTAAACCCCTGAACCCTAAACCCTAAACCCCTACACCCCTACACCCCTATACCCTAAACCCTAAACTCAAGAACCGAAACCCTAAACCCCTAAACCGTAAACCCTATACCCAAAACCCCTAAACCCCTAAACCTTAAAAACCCTAAACCCCTAAACCCTAAAACTCTACACCCCTAAACCCCTAAACCCTAAACGCTAAACCCTATAAATCGCAGGCCAGGAGGTGGAGACTGCAGCCAAACCGCGGAGTGCCCGCGCCTGCGGCGCTGGCCCGATGCCTCAGAGTATCCACCAGGCGTCTCAGGGGTTTAGGGTTTAGGGTTTTAGGGTTTAGGGTTTAGGGTTCAGGGGTTTGGAGTTTAGGGGCTTGTAAGTAGGGTTTCAGCTTAGGGAGGGTTTAGGGTTCAGGGCTTTGGAGTTGAGGTTTTTCTTCGGAATTTTAGGGTTTAAGTTTAGGGAGGGTTTAGGGTTCAGGGGTTTGGAGTTTAGGTTGTTTTTTGCTCGGAACTTTAGGGCTTAAGTTTAGGGAGGGTTTAGGGTTCAGGGGTTTGGAGTTTAGGCTCTTTAGTTAGGGTTTTGGGGGTACCAAGGCATAAAGAGCTGTTTTTCCCAGAGGTCCTTTGGCGAATCTGGAGGAGGTTGCATCGGTAGGTCATACATGGCATCTCACCCATATGCTCAGCTGACGGTTGCTCTTGGGACGCTTCCGTGAGTGCACTTCTGCCGAAGAAGACGAAGTTTCGGCTTTGCGGCAAGCCGAGGCCAGGACGATGACATGGCTTGCGCGGGAGGGGATGGGAGTTTCCGAAAATAAGGGCACCTTATTTTGGGGTCCTTATAATAAGGATCCTATTATTGAGGGTGCTATATTAGGGTCCCCTATTTTCGGAAACCCCCGGATTGCTCCGAAACCAGACAGCTTGCTATAAAGCATGGCCCGGTAAGCCGGGCAGCATGAGCCCACGGGCAGCAGTAATGCCGGGTGTGCACAGTTTCCTGGTGCATCGCCATGAGCTTTGCAGCGGCTTTCCGCCAGAAAACAGTAACGGACAGTCCATGAGTAGCATTTCAACACGTTTCCCGGTAGAGTTTGTCCGGTCGAGTGCTAGCTTGACGATAGAGACATGGATTGAACTGTTTCACATTGCCTATGGTCATTGAGGCAAAACATGGCCACAGTCTAGCTTCGTCAACTCGGCAATGAGAGACAACTCAGAGATTGTGGTTCTCATCGGAAACGTTGTGCAAATCTCAGCATTGTGGATTTTCGCTCAAAATGTGCTGCAGGTTAGAAGTGGCCTCTACAATTCCTCGCAAATCACCGGATTTTCGCGCAAAGCGGCTCCGCGTTTTGCCTTGCAGCAAGTCAGACATCCCCGAGTTTTCGCCAAGAGCACCGGACGTCCTTTGCATCACAACAGCTCCCTGATGCCTTTGTGGTTTGCAGGTAGCTAGAACAGCGAACTGTCCAAACTACTGCAACAGGATATTCCCCCTATAGAGCTATTCCGAATCTTTTCGTTGCTGCCCAATGCTGTATGCCAGAAAGTGTGCATTAGCTTTACTAGGCTGCTTTTCGTAAGATTGACATTGGGATTCATTTGTCTTTCTTCCTTGCTGGCCGCTCATGACCGCTATGCTCTGGTCGCGCTTGGCCTGGCAGTCGGATGCACTGGCAATCTTCTGTCCCAAGTCGCTGAGCCGTCGTGCAGTGTTGCTAGTTTCCAGCCCAGAAGCAGCCTTGTCCAAGCATTTGTGTCCCAACCCTTGAGCAGCCACGTCGATCGTTTTGACCTTGTGCCGGTGGAAGTCCGATCTCGCCAACCCTGTTGTAGTTGTCGCGCAACTTGAATCCCGTAAAGGCCCCCTTTTATAAAAACCCATTTCGGCCTTGCGCGTTTGCACTCTCCTGAACATGTGCCCACCCAACCCCGCCCATGTGCTAGGAACTGCAGCACATGGGTAGAGCCGGACGCGTGCTCCTTCAGGCAATGCACATCATCTTGCAGCGACCTGTGGGCATTGGGGCATGCATTGAAACGATGATGCTGCCGCCATCTCTGTCCTTGAAGGCCACATGGGCACGAGCCATCACACAAGTTGTCGGGCGCACCCATCACCGCCACATGCTCCTTGCCGATGAACTGGCCCGCTGTCTGACATCCGCACAGGCCGGCCTGCGAACTTACCTGTCGCAAGGCCCTGCACAACACATGCTGCCGAGATCCTCTTCGTGTCACTTCCCAGCTTCACCAGCTTTCAAACAGCTGTCCATGCGCATGCGGAGCTTGTCGCAGAGGTCCGTGACTAGGGGGTCATAACTTACGTAAAACCATGCAAAACCATTCATATGTGCCTATCCCAACCCGCCCGTGCGTTAGGAACTGCAGCAATGGGCTTTGGGAGGTTCGTGTTTCTGACAGCTAGTATTTGGGCTTTTGGGGTTTTTGGACTTACGAACGGTTTCGTTTGGGTTCAGGATTTGGTCTTTAGGTTTAGGGTTTACGGCTTTGGGTTTAGGGTGGGTTGTCTCCGGACAACTGGAGCGGTTGCGGTGGCTGGCTGTTGTGGTGTCATAGATCTCAAGAGCGACGTGTGTTTGTCGCAGGGCGATTCGGGGTGCCATGTGAGATGTCAAAGCACCCCTAAACCCTTAATTCCGAAATACAGCCTATCAGCTCTTTCTCTCTAATTTGTATGCATGCATGCATGTGCATGTGCGTGTGCGTGTGCGTGTGCGTGTGCGTGTGCGTGTGCGTGTGCGTGTGCGTGTGCGTGTGCGTGTGCGTGTGCGTGTGCGTGTGCGTGTGCGTGTGCGTGTGCGTCTCTCTGTCTCTGTCTGTCTCTGTGTGTTTGGGTACGTGTTTATGTGTCTATGTAGAATGTAGAACGTAAGGACCACGGAGCCAATCTAGGCTCGAGCTAGAGCATATACTGGCATACGCCATCAAGTCGAAAGTCGCAAGCCATGTCTCGACTGCAGCGATTAAGGGCTTCGGGCTTCAGTTTTTGGGGCTTAGTCTTAAAGCCTTACAGTAAAACACCCCAAAACCCTGAACCCTAGAACCCTAAACACCTCAAAACCCTGAGTCCTAGAACCCTAAACAACTCAGAACCCTGAACCTAGAACCCTAAACACCTCAAAAATCCCTGAATCCTTGAAGCCTAAACCCGATTCAGGGTTCAAGCTTGGCCAGGGCTGGATTGCCTCTTCGTGAACAGCCCCAAGCTGCGCAGATTGCAGCCCCCGCAGCACCAGGTCCCATCTTCTCAGGGGCTGAACATATTTGTCCTACTTACAGGATCATGGGACTTAATAAGTAGGGTTATAAATAAGCTAGCTAACTATACTTATAACCCCACTTAGGGGACTTATAACCTTGCTTACCAAGTCCCATGATCCTCCAAGTAGGATTAGGGAGATCCCTTAAAAGGGGACCCTTCTTAGTCCTGCTTATGGCTCTCTTAAAAGGATTTAAAAGGGACCTTATTGAGAGGGTCTAGATTTTCAAGGGTCCCCTTAATCCTGACTCCTCATTCGGGTTTAGGGTTTTAGGTCAAATCCTCCTCCTAAAGCCATTTTGTAGGGCCCCAGAAGCCTTAAAGGGTCCGTCGGGCTTACCGATAGTGAGGCCTCCTCTTGTCAGAGCAGTCCTGAAAATTCAATCTAGCATCCGGCGGATGAGGGCAGAAACCTAACTTCCAAGCGGCTATGGCTACCCAGCAGGACCAGCTAAACTCAATGCAGTTGGCAATTCCACAAGCATTGAAGCTTCAAAGGGAGTGCTCGACAATCGGAGCATTGATGGTTGGGCCATGTCTGGACACCTAATTAAATATGTCGTATCTGGAATTCCTGAAACCCAAATCCCATTCCCTGAAGTGAAAACACACGGGCGCCCAACCCTCTGGACAGATGCCTGAGTGTATTGAGGATACTAAACCACCCTCAATCAGTAGCAAGACTATCCGGCAAAGATCCTGGTTGCAGACCAAGGTAAAGCTAAACCCCGAGCCTATCACTCCAAGCCTGGACTTGTAAACAAAGCTTAACAATAAATCTGAGCTAAAGTGCCCTGAGAGTTCAACCTTTCAAACTCAACGCCCTGAGCCCTCTCAGCTGAAGGGGCCTCAAGCTCTAAAAGCCGTCGGCCACGAGCCCCAAACCTGCCAGCCCTAGACCCTAAACCCTAAACCCTAAATCCAAACCTGATAGCGCGAGTGCCTACGCCTCGAAAGTCCAGGGCCCTCTGAAACTTTTTAAACCCTTCTAGAACCCTTGTGAGTAGAAGCCATGTAATAATTGTTACCCCGGTATGGTGACCTTTATAGTACCTCAAACTCCAAAGTCGATCCGAAGGCCGGCTTAGCTGCAATTCCAGACTCCATCCGAAGACTGGACCTTGCCTGCGGGGTGTAGCGCTCCAGGTTTCGGGTTCCGTTGAGAGACCTAAAAGGATTCTTTTGGAAGGTCTTAAGATAAGCATTTAGCGTTTAGGGCTCGACGTTTCGGTGTGCTCATCAGTATTTAGGACCATTTAGGAATGAAGCAAGGTTTAGGCCTCGAACGCCATGTAGGCCTCACGCCCATGATGTTTGGTTTAAGGTTTACGACTTGAGGTTAACAAGGCTGCAGTTTCTGGTTGAGGGTTACGTGTTAGCATAAGAGCTATGGTTTCAGGTTTCACGGCTTAGGCGTCCCTAAACCCTAAGCCCTAAACCCTAAACCCTAAACCCTAAAAACGTAGGGTTTGCAAGGGGTTGCGCGAGGCATACGAATTTCTCTCCGACAGTGCCAAGCTCCAAGCCGTCTCAAACCCCAAAGTTCGGCACTCTTGGCCCATAGTGCAGGGGCCTAAATAATTACCTACAGTATTGTGGGGGGTTCCTTATTTTGATTCTAGTATGATCGGCCCCAAAACTCTATTGTAATTATTAAGGCCCCTACACTACCATCCTCACGCTCAGACTCCATTCCAGAGCCCTTGCAGTTCGCCCCTCGAGGCACTGTGAGTGTAGGTCCAACTCTAAATCCTAAACCCTAAACCCTGAAACCCCTAAACTCTAAAGTCTAAATCATCCTAAACCCTTAAACCCCTTAAACCCCAAACCCCCTAAGCTCTACACCCCAGATCCTCTGGGCCCTGCAAGGACTTGTCCGGAAGCCGTCTTCGGATGCTGCCCCCCAAGGCCACACAGGGCCACAGAATCCGGGGATGCGAAGCTCGGGTTGAGGACGTGAGTCTTCAAAACCCTCAACCTTCAACCCAAAACCGTTGGGGTTTAGGATTTCGGGTTTAGGGTTTGGGGGTTATGAGTTCATAGGGTCAAAGGCTTAGGGCTTGAGAGCTTGGGGCTTCAGTGAAACCCTACCTGCCCGAGTGTACGGGTACGACAGTCACCTATGGGTTCAGAAAACAAGGGCTGGGGGTTTAGGTTTGTCTAAGGATTTAGTGGTTTAAGGATTTGGGGTCTAGCGGTCCAGGCTGAATTGTAGGGGGTTGAGCGGTTCGCGACAGCCCGGGACATGGTGTGGGGTTCAGGGTGTCTTTCTGAGACCCCTGAACCTCTTTCGGGTTTAGGTTTTGGGTTTAGGGTTTAGGGTTTCCGATTCAGGGTTTCGGGTTTTGGGTTGCAAACCCTAAAGCCTTCGAGACGCAAAACCCTAAGCCCTAAGAGGTGAAGGCACGAGGCGAATATAGGGGCTTTATTAAATACCAATACTATTTTGGGGGGTTCCTTATTGTAGTTATACTATAAAGGGGCCAAAACCCTCTTCTAATCATGAAGGCCCCTACATTAGCCTGTCCGCCCCCCGCCGACCTCTTTGCTTCGAGACTGTTGTTTTGCCTAATGGGGTTCCTCTGAGGTTCGTTTAAGGTTGGTTAGGGCTGGGGGTTTAGGGTTTAGGGTTTAGTGTTTAGGATGGCTTAGGGTTTAGGGTGCTCTGTTAAGGCTTCTTTAGGGTCGTGGGCGTTTGTCACCAAAGCTCCTACTGAGCTCCAATTGCTGGGGGTTCTTGGAAAGCCGCGGTCCTTCAGCTAGATTCTTTAAAGCAGACTCTGATAATCTAGGTACCTGAATAGTACTATTGGTGGGGGTTCCTTATTGCAGTTATGATTAGTATGGTGTACCCCGAAACGCTATTCTAACTGCTCAGGCCCCTAGATCTTGGGCCCGACTTGTGTTTTTCGTCTGGCAGCAGCCTACTAAAATGACTCCTAGGCATTCAACCGAGGACGACTTCTGCATTTCTAGGTTGATGTTTGGCCGGTATGTGTAGTCGGAGCCCGCGCTCTGCGCGGCCACCATGTTTCCAGGGGTTGCTGACTTAACCCATTGCTTTTCCCTCGGGTTTTGGCTACTTTGCCCGCATATCCTTTTTCGGATATTCGGATATTTCGGACTTTCCTTGCTTTCGGACTTTTTCGGACATTCGGATATTTCGGATTTTCCTTGCTTTCGGACTTCCGGAATTTGATGTTCAGCATGTTGCAACTGGATCGGGGAGCGGGGGGGGTGGGGGGGATAACGACGTCCTTTGGCACCCAGGGGCCATGGATTTCGAGCATGGGCGAGCGTACTTGGCGCTGCTTGTCGCGGCGCTTTTGTTGCTGCGCTTGGAAGGAGTTTCGCTGCCCAGGACGTGCTGTTTTCGGACGGCAAGAAAGCCTGGAGAGCTCATGCGAACAGAATGGGCCTCTGTCTTCCTGGGTGAGCCACCAAGAGAAAGAGTTTGTCAAGACGGACGCCCAGGTCGCTAAGAAGCCTGCGGCCAAGACAGTGCTGTCAGGAACTAATGTATAGATAGGACATGGCAATCCTTGACAGCATGGGTTCCGCCGCAGTTCCCACGAAAGTCTGGAAAGGGGCTGGCTGCGACAGAAAACGCAGACCTGGTGCTGCTTCTCGAGCAGTTTGTCTGGTGCCAGCATCAGAGAGATGCTTCGCCGTGCCCTAAACCCTAAACCCTAAACCCTAAACTGTCTCAGCTTTGTGCCAATGAGGCATAGACAAGCCCTGAGAGAGCTTGCGTGTTCAGATTCCGCCTCCCTTCTGCGGCGAGACCCCTAAGTAGTTTTCAAAATCCACACTCTTAAAACCCTTAAGCTCTGTCAGGCCCGAACAACCTGTAAATTACGACGCGAACGGCTATTCATATGCTATTCATTGCTTGGTCATGTGCTTGCCGGCCGGTGGCCGCGCAAGGCGCGGGGAACGTGTAGTTCTTGGTTGATTTTCTGAAGCTTGGAATTCGCCTCCAGGATCCTAAACTCCGCAACAGCTTGAACCCTAAACCCTCAACCCGAAACCCTAAACCCCAAACCCTCAACCCTAAACCCTAAAACCCAGTGGTCTCTAAACCCTGGCCCCTAGGCCCCGAGCCCTGGGCCGGCTGTGTCTTGCGCGACAGGCCTTTTCGCACCTTAGCTCTCTCCGAGTGCTGCTCCTCAGCTGCAGGAATAGTGAACATAAGAGAGGTTTAGGGTTTAGGGTTTAGGGTTTAGGAATATAGGGGCCTAAATATTTTACCGATAGTATTTTTTGTGTGTGTGTGTGTGTGTGTGGGGGGGGGGGGGGTACTTGTTATAACTATTCAGTATAATGGGCCCCAAAGCCCTGTTCGACTTATTAAGGCCCCTAAAGTAAGTGCAAGAGTCACAGCACCTCAAGGTTACTTCTTGGTTACTTTCATGGTATTATAAGGTTACAAGACGGTTACCATAAGGTTACTATATGGTTGCTTCTAAGGTTGCTGAAAGGATATAAGAACAAGGTTATTCGAAGGATACTATGAGATTACTATAGGTCTCCTTGATGGCTCAAAGTGTCGATGAGCTGCAACTGTACGAGCTGAAGATGTGGGCCGCGGCCTAGGCTTCCTCTGTAGCTCTCTCACAAAACGGCCTAACCCGTTTTTTGGGGGGGGTTCTATAGTAGGGTTCCTTGCCTTCTGAAACTTCTAGGTTACAGTCCTACCATTAGACCATTCCTCCAGATGCTGCAAATCCGGATGATCTCTGGCGAAAACGTGAGCATACCTGTCGGCGAGATACACGACGTGAGGGGCTTGAAGCGGCATTTGAGTCAGCGGCGTGGATTTCCTCTCGGTTTTAGGCAGAGGTTCCTCCTAGGTGGCGAGATTTTGGAAGATGCTGTCAAGCTGGACTCACCGATGGACCTGGATGTGGTTCTACTGCAATTCGTCCAGGATTCGAAAGAGCAGGCGGACGAGCTAGTAGATGCCGCTGCCCATGGACATATTGCCAAAATTGAGTCCAATCTGCAGCTGCCCCAAGATCCAGATTCGCGAACAGCACGTGACATCACGGCTTTGATGATGGCATCTAACGAAGGACATACCGAAATCGTGAGCTTGCTGCTGGCGGCCGGCGCCGACGCGAACCTTGTAGAAAGCACCGGCTGCACAGCTTTGATAGCAGCATCGAATGCAGGGCATGTCGAAGTGGTGAGCTTGCTGTTGGATGCCGGCGCCGACAAGGATGTTGTAGACAAGAGAGGCATGACAGCCTTGCTTATGGCATCTAATGAAGGTCATGCCGCAGTCGTGAGCTTGCTACTGGAGGCCGGGGCCGATAGCAACGTGGAAACCCCCGTGGGCAACACCGCTCTGATGAACGCATGTTATCGAGGTGATGTTGAAATCGTAAATTTGCTGCTGGAGGCCGGCACCGACAAGGATGCGACAGAAGCCACCGGCTGCACAGCTTTGATGATCGCAGCTTATGGAGGTCATGTCGATGTTGTGAGCTTACTGCTGAAAGCCGGCGCCAACAAGGATCTAACAAGCTACAACGGCTCCACAGCCTTGATGAAAGCCTCCAGGGCATGCCATTCCGAAGTCGTGAGCTTGCTGCAGGACAGCACATCCGAGGCAACAACTGAACCCTCCTATTTCTGAACGTCCACGTTCCATCGTGCCGTGGTATCGGGATCCGGCGCAGTCTCTCCTGCCAAAGGCTGGCACTGCTTTCGTGGAAAAAGGCTTGGCAGTCGCCGCTTTAGGCCACAGTCTTGTGATAAACTTAGGGGTCGGAGAAATGGCCAATAGCATTCCCTTATAACACCTAATACATTTGTGGGATAATATCCCCAAAACCCCGGTCTAAATATTATTCGGTGGGCATGCTAGACTTGCTTTGGGTTTAGCTTGATTTGATCTTTATGCCGTCTGGTTCTTTCGCTGTTCTATCTACCCTGGTACTGGTAGAAGTTAGACCCACTTAGATCTTAACCAGAGCCTCACTGATACTATGTCACCAGGCTTCTTGCTACCCGCAGTTGCAGCTGGGTTTAGGTCTAAGACAGCATGGGCAGAGCCCAGAACTCCTCAACTCCCACAGCCTCATGGTACACTACAGTAGTATATTGGAGTATTTTAGATGGTTATATCATATTTTTAGTACAATATGGGCTCCTAGAGCTGACCCCTTACGCCCAGCTTCTTCCGACGGCCCTAGGAGCCATTCCAGGATCGCCCCTCGAATCCAAAAGGTGCACCGCACTCTGGGCCGGAGCAGCGGTGGCTCCCCAGGAAACGAGCACACCAGACAAATTGCTTGGAGGTTTAGGGGACTTAGTAAATCGGTTATAAGTAGTCTTATAATTGGGGTAACTCCAGTTAGGGTACTTATAACTCTACTTATAACCTACTTACTAAGTCCCCTGGGCCTCCAAGTGTGGAGGAGGAAACACAGTCGCACCCCCAAACATTTACAGCACTGCAGTGGGAGCGCGATTTCGGGAGGTGGACATTCACGCGACTGCGGTGGGAAGGGGATGTGTCCAAAATGCACATTCTGCCACAGCGGGAGACGCAGAACTGGCAGTTCATGGGTAGCTATACGCGGGGTCACAAGTCCCTAATACTGGCTATATAAGCACAGTTGCCCTACTTATAACTCTACTTAGTAGCCCTACTTATAACTACCCATATTAGGGATCACCCATATTCGGGGACTGATACATTGTAACCTCCAATTAGAACTATCCATGAACCTCCAAGTAGCTGCTATAGCCAGCCACCAAGACTCTTAAGACCCTACATAGAAACTACCCATATCCCAGATCTTCGTCATAGTCGAGAAACATTGAACGTTTTTATGGGTACTTAAGCTCAGAGAGGAATAGAACCAAGAACCCTAAGGCCCTAAACCCCTAAACCAATAAAACCTAAACTGCCCAAGACACCAACTTCTCCATCTTAGGGGGCTAAGGTTCCCTAAACCCCTAAACCCTAAACTACCCCTGAACCCTAAACCCTAAACCCTAAACCTAAACCCTAAACCCTAAACTCTGAACCCTAAACCCTAGCTTCTCCATCTTAGGGGGCTCAGGTTCACCATCCGTGGCAGCTGGAGAGCCTCCGACTGGTCTTTCAACCTCGACTTTGCGCCTTGGCAGAGATGGGTAATATTTTACCCCTAAACCCTAAACCCGGGATTTTAGCTTTGGGAGCTGTAGTTTCGGGATTTTTGGGTTTAGGGTTTAGGGGTGGATTTTTAGTTTTGGGTAAAGGGTTTAGAGTGTTGGTGTAAAGGTTTAGGGGCTTCGGCGGGTTTAGGGCTTCGGCGGGTTTAGGAGGTACAGGGTTTTGGGTTGGGTGTAAAGTATTGGGAAAAAGGCGAATGTCAGGAACTCATAGCCAAAAATGGCTTTTAGAGCAGGAGAACGTAGCAGGAAGCACAAGCTTATGCTTCAAGCTTTAGGGGTCTAAGGGTTGGGTTCCTGGCTTATTGTACTATGACATGAGATACCCCGGAACCCACTTCCAATTGGAGAGGCCAGTCCATTCCACGCGTATAGAAACCCTTATGATGACCCTTGTAGAACCTCTAAACTTTAGAGGAACCCTTAAGTGGATGAGAAACCTTCAGGCCCTTATATTCAACCCTTATGGTAGCCCTTGGCCTTTTAGCAACCCTTAGAGGCACCCCCTTTAAACGGGAACCCTATTCTAATCATCAACGCCCTTACAGTAACCCTCTAAGAGAACCCTACTCTAGTTATTGTATTCCTTATGAGACATCCCTTGAAAGGGAACCCGGTTATGACGGCCCTCATAGTCACCCTCAAAGGAACTCCTTTACAGGGAACCCTATTCTATTTATTCCGGCCCCGAGAATAGCCCTTGAAGGAACCGTTTAATGGGGAACCCTATTCTAATGTAAAGGCACCCCTTCCTCGTCCAATTCTTCAGGCCCCTCTTGGAGGTTCATGGGTAGTTATACGTAGGGTAGCTATAATCAAAACCCATATTAGGGGACCGTTTAATCCCACATATAGCTACCCTACACCCTAAACCCTTTAGAGCCCGTAAAGGAACCCTAAACCCTTATAGCCCACTTACAACTACCGAGCCCTTAAAGGAACCCTAAGCCCTTATAGCCCCACTTACACCTACCCGTAAGCCTCCAAGCTTCTTGTGTGGGTTTCTGAAAATAAGGGACCCTAATATAGCACCCTAAATAGTAAGATCCTCATAATCAGGACCCCAAAATAAGGTACCCATTATTTTGGGAAAGGGACCCCAAGACAGCACCCGAAATAGTAGGATCACTACTTTCAGAACCCCAAAATAAAGCAACCCCCGTGTTTTCGGGAACTCCCCTTCTTGGCTCTGAGGAACCCATCGCCTTCGAACCTGATCTCTGGGACTCGCGGCATCCTGCCTTGGCGTAACGCGGCCCTGAAGCCTACTTGGAGGTTCATGGGTAGTTATAATAAGTGGTGGTTATGAGTAGGGTTCGTTTTTAAGGGTTCTATAGGGTTTAGGGTTTAGGGGTGTTTATAGGTGTGGTTTTAAGTACTGTAACTATACTTATAACCCATATTGGGCGGACTTATAACCCCATTTATAACTACCCATGAACCTCCAAGTATAGCCTGAGCTACTTTAAGACCCTACAAAATTGTAGGGCCCATATATGGACTTCATATGTAGGGTTTACACTGGGGTATCGTAGTTTAAGATAATTTCCTTCGATACCTGTAGCCTTCAGGGCTTAGGATGTAGGAATGAAGGGTTTAGGGTTTAGGCTTGGATGGATGTGAGTCGGTCGATCTGGGGGTCCTGCAAATTGGGCTTATTGAGATTATGTCTTCCCGAATCGACAGGTCTGAGAAAAGGCTTCCGTTGGTTCCGCAGAGGATCGAGGATGGGAGTTTCAGAAAATCGCCGAGCCCTGGCATATAGACCGAAGGGTCGGGTGGGTGAAAGGGACACACCGCTCATGTCAAGAAAAACTCCACCCACGAGGGTCCACCCAGAACACCCCGTGAAGTTGCCTCTCCCCAAGAGACATCCACACCTGTGGCCCAAGAAAAGGATAGCCAATTGGAAGTTCTGCTTCGAGTCTTTCTGTGGGCCTGGTTCGAACCACTTGCTGATTCTTGTGGGTATCTCAGAGGGTTTAAGGGTCAGG